ATAAATTCTTATCCATATGACCATAAATGCGTACACTTATAAATTTACTTTATATAATTAAAATTATTATGACATATACTGTATTTTTATTAAAAAAAGATCCCAAATTTATATTCTTCTTAAAGAAGAATATTCTTACCATTATATTACAAATTTTCCAATTCTTTATTATAAGAATAAAGCAAAAAAAAGATATTCATAATATCTTTAAAGATTTATCAAAACCAGATTGTCCTAGTATTTTTACTGGATGTGAAGAATAAAATATTATACATCTAATTTTGAATGGTAATTTTCCACTGCAACATCTATCCAAAAAAAATTAAAAACTGATGATAAAATTGATATCAACACAAGCAAAATAAAGCAAACTTTACATCATAATGATCTTTCTTTACGAATTAAGCAAAAAAACCATATCTCAAAAAAAACATATCAAATTCAACCAACATTAAGTTTTGCAAAAAAATAACATTATTGGACTATTAATGATTGGAGTAAAGTCAGCTGATCAGATGAATCAAAATTTATGAATATTACTGGAAACGTGATGATGAACCTTTGAAGCATCACGTGAAACCTACAGTAAAATTTGGAGGTGGGAATATAATGGTTTGGGGTTGCTTCAGATTTTTTGGCATTGGTAATATTGTACGCATTTATGGTCATATGGATAAGAATTTATATCATGAAATCTTAAATGATGATCTTTTAGGAAAATCCGGTGGTATGAAATTAATAAAAATGATGTTGTCTTTCAACAAAACAACGTTTGCTGCCCAATCACCTGATCTTAACTCAATTGGATCGTCGTTTGAGAATTGGTATCCATTCTCAAGATCAACTCTGGGATGCGATACAAAAAATTTGGATCGAAATTGATAACGCGCGTTTTAATGAAGCTAATTGAAAGTATGGAGGAACGCATTCAAGATGTAATTAATGAAAAGGGTAGCTATACTAGGTGGTAATTAAAATTGGTGATTAAATTTATTTAGTTTATTAAGTAATTTCGATTTTACTTTTATTTATCAAAAGATCAAAAGAAACGGATCGCTTGATTTGATGTAAAATGTGGTTTATTTTTTTTTTAAATGTACGATATGAAAAATAAATATGATACGATGTTTCGTCCATACATAGGCATTAAAATGAGCCTATTTATATATTGATTGATGTTGTATTAAATCGTGAAATTTATCGTCCAATACTTTTAGCGCCACTGTATTTATATTTATATTTATATTTATAAATATAAGGAAATTAAAAAAATATAATAATAATAATAATAATAAAATTTTCTTCAGTTTACAGTTCACTTGCTCAGGATGAGTAACGAACAACTCAATTTTTTCTTTTTTCTTTTCATTTTCCTTTTCTTTGTATTTAGCAGTTTCATTTCATTATGAACCACATAAGCAACTTAATATGATCGAAAATGTAAAATTTTTTTTGTTGAAAACTTCATGATGTGTATATTGATTAATAATTCAAGTATTAGCGTTATACATGTATAGATTTGTACTATTACATGTAAGTGTGTCGCAAAATATCATTGCTTCAATTGCTGAAAACGCCCCCATTGTTTTGTGTATCAGCATGGTCAAAATTTCACAATATTTTTGGCAATAGAATAAAAAAATGATCTTACAGGTGATATAAACATTCCAAGTAGGGATTTTGTTGTAATATTTACAACCTATACGATAAAATTATTCGTGCATTAGAAACAATTTTTGTTAGGAGTCTTCCCTCCGCCGTGCAACAAAAAAAATAAATAAGATTCTCCGAACATTTCAAAACGTGTGATCTTTAATTTATATAAAGGAAATTCCGTTGCAATCTACACAGCTAAGAATGGATACTAAACTGAGTTGTGCTTTAAAAGCCAGCAAAGAGCTCATAACAAATTTGCATCGTGATGGATTGGATCGCGGGTGCATTGCAACATTTAATAACTCTTTGGTGATTAGACAGGTAAAGCGCTGTTCATTCTGGCGTATTGCTGCTATTTCTACATTATTTTGACAATAGCTTTTCAATTTATGTACGTCTTTTTGAAGAGCTTTACTGAAGATGAAAAAAAACTTCATCGTTCTCTCGACGCGTTAAGAAATGTTGCATCTGGTGGAACTCGCCTTTATGACAGTATATATGACCTCATGATTGGAACCTTTCGTCGTAAAGGCGACCGTTCTCGTCCCTGGATCATGATCGTTGTGACTGATGGTAATGATATTTGCAGCACAAGAAGCGCTCGGAATTGCGCTAAAGAAATCTTCAGTCAATTTACTAGAGATAGCAGCAATTTCTTATTTCTTGTTGGAGTCGGAGACGACGTGAATTCGGCTAAGATGGCAGAGGCAAGTTATTCGTTGCTTATTATTAGGAGGATGATTTAGAAGATGTCAATATTGCAATTTGTTTTCCTGCAAATTAAAGAAATCACATGAGTCTCCAATTGTTTCTTGCAAACTTAAATCAGATGGCCAATGAAGGCAAATTTACCTATGTCCCGGTCAAAGATTTTTACCTACTTGAGTTTGTATTCATGACCCTCGCTCTCCAAGTTACCAACTCCATCTCTGTTTCCCTCAACAGTCTCGCTATCAATAATGTTTCTGCTACATGGGCACAAGTTCAACAACACAGGCAACTCAGCAACGTTGCACTCGATTACGCTTTGTTGATTGATGTATCAGCATCTATGAGTGACAGAATACGCGGGCCTCCACCGCCAAAATGTTTTGAGGGACATGATTTGAAAGAGGCATATTTACGCGACTGGTATTGTGATGTATGTGGAATAAATGGTAAAACCTCGGTAAGCTTTTTTTTCCTTAATTTTTATAATTAAATCGCAAATTTTTCTCTTAATCTCCTGCGGCTCTTACGTTCCACCTTTATATTATTCACAGACATCAAAATATCATTGTTCTATCTGTAATTTTGACGCTTGCCCTAGCCATTGCGAGTCTGGTGTTGCATGTAAACCTGTTCGTCGTTGTCCGCAACGTCACCCTTTGCGTTGCACACAATCAGAGGGAAAATGGGTATGCGATGAAGATCGCCAGTTACAGAGAGGCGGGTTGCGTTTACGATGTCAGCAATGTGACTACGATATGTGCTTGGACTGCTTGGAAAAAGAGAATTTGGTTATTGATCTGATGGCGAGACTGCTCTTGCAAGACTGATCATAGCTGCATTAAATACACTTAGTATTTTCCAATTTTATCTTTATATAGTATTGCTTATGGGTAATTGTGACATAATATTATTTTTCGGGGTATACGCATTTTTTTGAATATATTATTTTTTATATAGAAATTATAGGGTGATAATTTTTTATAATAAAATTTGTTTGACAACATAATTATTTTAGATCACTTGTAAATCATCGGACTTATCGATGCAATCAATATTGAATTTTAGAATTTTAGTTATTTATTTAAATTCTAATTGATACCTTTGTTGTTAATTATTATTGACATAAGTGACCTAGCCTATTATATTGAACCATTTAAAATTTAAATACCAATTTAAATAAGTAAAACATTAAAATAAAGACAAAAATTTTAGATTCTTGAAATATTAAAAAAAGAAACCAATTTATATAGTAGTTTTTGAGAAAATTAAATTTAAAAATTTATCAAACTACAGTTGGCATCATAAAGATTGGAAGATTTAAAATTTACATATCAATTATTTGATAAAGAATGAATATAATTACATGAAAATTTGCAAATATATGTTTTTTGATATGAAGAACAAAATTAATTAAGACATATTGTATGATACCTTATTAAAAATATCATTAAATTATAAATAATTATAAATATAGCTAACTTTATATCTTTATTGATTATTCAATAAAAAATGTCAGAGTTATGCCAAAATTTATAAATATATTCTTTGTAATATAATGAACAGCTTTACCTATAATAAAATAATAGAATTACTTAATAGTATTTTTAATAATATAAGCTCAATCTTTGTTAAATCTTACTTATTTTTTTACAATAAATTTTATTAAGAAAAAGTATAATCATACATGTAATAATAATAATTTTATTAAAATATTTTGAACAAACTTGATTTACAAATTATAAAGAAGATATATCTAAATTATCAGATCATTTTAATAAGCTTTCATTTTTTTATGTATTGTATAAAACCTCCAAATTTTTATAATGCTGTAAGATTATTTTGTTAATGGTTGTAAACAAGATAAAATGCGATATGAATAAGTTTTAATTTTATAACTTATGA